AATAACATTTACTATTTCTAGTTAAAGTTCCATCTAACTCACATATGTCGAAGTGCATAAGATCTAGGGGATCAGATTCTTTAACAATTGATTTATGTGAAGTCTTAGTTATTTTAGCTTGACTACAATATTCACATTTATTTGAATCATTGACATTTAATTTAGGGATTAGGCCTAATTTGCTTGCATTAGAAATAACTCTCTTATTAACGTGACAAAGTCTAGCATGCCAAATATTAAAATCACATAAAGAGTAAACAAAATGAGAAATTTTATTCAAATCAACATTCAACTTAAACATGTCATCAATGGCGTATCCTTTTCAAACAAAAATACCATTCTTAGTGATGGTGTACAAATCTTCCCCTATAGACTAACTAAACCCTTCCTTATTCAAAAGAAAACCAGAAACAAGATTCTTTCTAAGTTCAGGGATATGCATGACGTCCTTTAAAACTAAAGTCTTTCCTGAGGTGAAGTTCAACTCATTATCTCCAATTTCAACAACATCAGTGGTGTGAGCATCTCCCAACAACACTTTCTTATTTTCAGCATTTGTGTATATCTTGAACATAGCACGATCATAGCAGACATGACGAGAGGCGCCCGTGTCTATCCATGAATCATCACTTCCATCAACCATGTTGACTTCAGTGATCATAGCAATAAATTGCTCATCAATCAAGTTAACATGTACATTAGAGCCAATTGGTTTGGGTTTGCTCTTACATCTCTTAGCCATATGACCCGGTTTTCCATAATTATAGCAAGTGAAAATTGGAGCGTCATTTCTTTGAGTTGGTGGTTGCTGTCTAGCAATCGAAGTAGATGAGCCCCTTGACGAATTCTCATTCTTAATTCAGTTCACAACATTGCGATTCTGATTCTTTAATGGTTTGCTCGTAGGCTTCAGAGCTGCACCAAATCTCTGTTTGTCGTTAGAAACAACTAAGACTTCATCCTTCTGATCCTGTTTTCTAGCTTCATCTTCAATTCGGAGGCGAGTGATCAGACTCTCGATTGAAAACTCTTTTGTTTCATGGCGAAGCACATTTTTGAAATCTTTCCAACCAGGGGGCAGCTTGTCAATGATAACAACAATTTGAAATTGTTCATTGAGGGTCATATCTTCTGTAATGATTTCATGAGCAATCTTTTAAATTTCGTGGCTTTGAGCTTCCACAGATTTTTCATCCTCCATCTTATAGTTCAAGTAGCGGATGTCAACATATTTCTCCACACCTACTTCTTCAGTATCTTATTTCTTCTACAGAGCCTCCCATATCGGTTTAGCAGTCTTGTAATTACTGTAGTAATCGTACAGATCATCAGCAAGACTGTTCAAAATGTGATTTTTGCAAAGATAATCATTCTCTTGCCATATGGAGATTTCTTTCTCGAGCTGTAAGTTATATGTTACGGCCTTAGCTTTTGCAGCAGAGTCTAATTCAGATGTTTTGAAATTTCCGTATGAATCTCCAATTGACTTACCATTGGTTATTTCAATTGTTCTAGAAGGAGCGACAAAAATATCCTGAATCAGAACGTGGACAACCCTTTTCAAAGTTAAGAAAAAATTCATCTTATCTTGCCAACGTTTAAAATTGGAACCCTCAAACTTAAATGATTTATCAGGGACAATAGCGACCGCAGTAGTACCGATAATTTCCTCAGTAGTCATGGAAGTTAAAAAAGCGTCTTAAAATTGTTGTTTTCGATTTTTGAAAAGAAAATTGTCACGGAGGAAGTTATCGGCTGAGTCGCGGAACAATACGCTTTCTTTAAGACGTTTCGTGGTACTGTCAAAATTATGCAAAACAACTCTTAATAACCACGATGCCTCCAAGGTAAAATAACTCGTTCACAAAAGGATTACGATTATCACTTGCACTCTGATGAATCGTTCAAAGAAATACACCATTAGATGGTGTTTAACTACTCGTAATATCTAAAAGAATTTCAGTCATTAATGACACACAAGACCACTAAAAAATACAAAGATGAAATAATTTGTATTGAGATGAAGAGAACAGAGAGGGAGAAGAGAGATTCCAAAAATTTTAGAAATATGACGTACATTTCCAATAAACTTAGAAATCATATTAATAGATAAATGATTCAACTAAGTGGAGAAAAAATTGTGGGAGAGTGGAGAAAATAGTGGGAGAGTGGAGAAAATGGTGGGAGGGAGTTACTTAATCAAAACTAGGTTTTGATGTATGACTCATTATTAATTAATAATTAATTAACTCCTATCAAAATAGGATGAATCTTTCAATTCACATTAAGTTTCCAACACCCCCCCCCCCCCCCCACTTGAATTTAAAGGTGATATTAAAAGTAATGTCAAGCGTTTCGTGGTACTACCAAAATTATGCAAAACAGTTCTTAATAACTACGACGCCTCCAGGATAAAACAACTCATTCACAAAAAGATTACGATTATCACCCTGCACTGTGATGAATCGTTCAAAGAAATACACCTTTAGATGGTGTTTAACCACTCGTAATATCTGAAAGAATTTCAGTCGTTGATGACACACAAGGCCACTCGAAAAAAAACAAAGAAGAAAGAATTTGTATTGAGATAAAGAGAACAGAGAGGGAGAAGAGAGATTCCAAAAATTTTAGAAATCTAATGTACATTTCCAATGAACTTAGGAATCAAATTAATAGGTAAATGATTCAACTAAGTTGAGAGAAAATAGTGAGAGAGTGGAGAAATTAGTGGGAGAGTGGAGAAAATGGTGGGAGGGAGTTACTTAATCAAAACTAGGTTTTGATGTATGACTCATTATTAATTAATAATTAATTAACTCCTATCAAAATAGGATGACCCTTTCAATTCAAATTAAGTTTTCAACAACCCCCCCCCCCCCCCCCCCCCCACACACACACACTTGAATTTAAAGGTGATATTAAAAGTAATGTCAAGCGTTTCTAAGATCGTGCATAAGCAAATGTGTCTAGGACTTGAACCTTTGCGTAGCAAGTAGGATTCTGATTCAACAAGAGTGACACTATTGTCTTGAACTCTATCTCAGATATCAGACTCACACACAGTCTTTTCTTAAGGTGTATTCTTAATATCCCGTGCTTTTAATGGCCTTGCACGTGTATCCTGGCTTAGTGAAGGCTCTAGGAATTCTGCATCAAAATTCCATATGAACCGGCCTCAGTTTCACAATCACATAGGTGAGTTTATCAAGAGTACTCTTGTAGCATGGGTACTCCCTCATACAGAGTATAGATCTCATTAAGTGTTTCTATCATCTCATCCTCTTATCGCTTCAGGATTCATGCTTCTTTTATTTACTCTAGCATGATCGCCTCATATTACTCACAAATTGTTATTACCCATTGAACCTATTTCTTGGGATCTCCAATCATTTAGACCGGGTTACCATCATGAGCCACTCATATTCCTATAAACATTAGTCCCATCTTATATGATGTATTATAGACTTTCTCTCTAGTTAATCCTTTCGTCAAAGGATCTTCTAAATTTTCATCAGTGCGTACATGATCCACTCTTACAACCCCTTTAGAGATACAGTCTCTAACAATGCTGTGTTTTCTTCTGATTTGACGTCTTTTACCATTATAATAATAGTTCTCGATTTTTTAAATAGTCATGGTACTATCGTAGTGGGTCAACACAGCTGGCATAAGTTTTTCCAATAAGAGAATCTCATCCAGCAAGCATCTTAACCAACTTGCTTCTTCACTAGCACTTGCTAATGCTATCATTTCTGACTCCATCGTGGACTGAGCTAGGATAGTCTGTTTCTTTGATTTCCAAGATACAACTCTTCCAGCTATGTTGAATACATAGTCACTAGTTTCTTTAGAATCATGTGATAAAATATTCCAATCTGCATCATTGTATCCTTCAAGTACATCAAGAAATATCTGATAATGCAAACCAAGAGCATGACATTTATTACCTTAGCAAAAAGTTTACCGACTGTGAGACCCGATACTCACTGCTCGAGAAAACTTGTTGCGCTTTGGTATGGGCTGCTCGCCGGCTGAGACAATATATGCTGACTCACACTACTCTGTTGATTTCTAAAATGGATCCAATAAAGTACATATTCGAAAAGCCTGCTCTGTCTGGAAGAATAGCAAGATGGCAGATGATCTTGACGGAATACGACATCCAGTACACGACTCAGAAAGTAATCAAGGGAAGTGTATTGGCAGACCATTTGGCACACCAGGCAGTGGATGACTACCAGTCAATGAACTTTGAGTTTCCAGACGAGAGTATCATGGTAGTAACTGATTGTGAAGTACCTGGACCGGATGAAGGACCTGAGGAAGGATCCCGATGGTCTATGCACTTTGACGGAGCCTCCAACGCTTTGGGTAATGGTATCGGCGCGGTGATCATATCCCCTCAAGGCACTCATACTCCACTTACTGCCCGACTATGTTTCAACTGCACCAACAACATGGCGGAGTATGAGGCATGCATCATGGGCCTTTAAGCTGCGATTGACTTAAGGATCAAGTTTCTGAGTGTCTTCGGAGATTCCACTCTCGTGATCAATCAGATCAAAGGCGAGTGGGATACGAAACACCCAAACCTTATTCCTTACAAGGAGTGTGTGTTGACGTTGATCCCCCATTTCGCAGAGATAACTTTTGAACATTTCCCAAGAGAGGAGAATCAGCTGGCAGACGTGTTAGCTATGATGTCTTCCATGTTTAAAGTCAAGTGGGACAATGAGGCTCCCCGGATCATTATCTGGAAACTGGACGAACCTGCATATTGCTGTGATCTTGAGGCTGAGATAGTAACTGAAAAACCTTGGTATCTTGAAGTGAAGAGGTACTTGGAAGCTCAAGAATACCCTGAAGGCGCATCTGTCAACGACAAAAAGTTTCTGAGAAGGTTCGCAGCGAATTTCTTCCTCAACAACGACATTCTGTACAAGCGACACCATGATTCAACCTTACTGCGTTGTGTGGATAAAACTGAAGCAGAAAAGATCATGGCAGAGCTACACGAAGGTACCTTCGGAACACACTCCAGTGGACATACCATGGCAAAGAAAATCCTTCGGGAAGGATATTTCTGGTCCACAATGGAAGCTGATTGTTACCAACACTCTCGGACATGTCATAAGTGCCAAATATATGCATACAAGGTGCACGTTCCCCCAGTACCTCTGAATGTCTTGACAGCACCTTGGCCTTTTGCAATGTGGGGCATTGATATGATCGGCGAGATTAAACCTACGACATCCAACGGGCATCGCTTCATTCTGGTGGAAATCGATTACTTTACAAAGTGGGTTGAAGCAGCTTCCTGGAGGATTGAAAGCACTAGAACTTGTAATTTTTTTGGCAGTGCAGTTTATATTTGTACTGATTTTGATCACATATGCTTTTGAATAGCTCTTAGTTGCAGGTGCAGCTGCTGGAGCATGGGCTTACCAGAAGCATAAACAAAAGACTAATGTTCATATTATGGCTCTGAACCTTGTTAGAGGCATTCCATTGACCCCAAGAGAGAAGGAAACAATGCTTGATATTCTCACTCCTCCTGCCTCACAGGGATTTAAATCGCAGGAAGTTAAGACTTCCTTCTGGTGGAGGAGATTGAGTGGTCAATGATCTCATTGACCATTCTGATCGCGGGTTTAACCTTTTAGGCAACTCTGCCAATTTAGTTTGTGACTTTGATGTTAATCCATAAATTTTCAATCCTAGTATTCTAAATTTATGTGTCATCACTCAAGCTTGGTGCATATGTATACATGATAAGAACGACTTCATTTTGTAATAATACTAATTTCACAGCATAATTTTCATGCTAATCCTTAAACTCTATTCCGGACTTGATATCCAGGTTTTCTTGTACTGTGATTCTGTCTTTTGACATTATATTTAACTTTAAGCAAGCAACAAAAATCTTTCACTCAAGTGATTGATTAACCTTCACACCACTCTTCACTCAAGTGATAAACAAAAGATTTGACAAATCCAAGCTTGTTCCTCACACTTTAGAATTGAAAAGAAGAAAAGATAAATATTGGAATAACTAGAGGGATGAGGAAGAAGAGAGTTTATTATTGTGGTATTGTTCAATTATAATGAGGGGTGGTATTTATACACATTAGCCACCCAAATCAAGTCTTAAAAACAAACGTTCTAAGACTGTCTGGTCTAAAACTGTCTGATATACCTCAAAACTGATATACTTGCTCGGGTCTATGGTATACCCCCGGATATATTCTTAAAGCGCTCTGTCTATAACTAAAATTGATATACCCGCCTGAATCTATGTTTACTAGCCTAGCAATTTTCTAACAAACTTTCAAAATAGAATTATGTTGCATAACCGAATTTTTGCCACTAACCAACTTGTTACATGATTCCTGTTGTTTTCAGTTTTTGAAAAGAAAATTGTAACGGAGGAAGTTATCGGCTAAGCTTTTTTTAAGATGTTTCGTGGTACTGTTAAAATTATGCAAAGCAGTTCTTAATAACCACGACGCCTCCAGAATAAAACAGCTCGTTCACAAAAGGATTACGATTATCACTTGCACTGTGATGAATCGTTCAAAGAAATACACCTTCAAATGATATTTAACCATTCATAATATCTAAAAGAATTTAAGTCGTTGATGACACACAAGGCCACTAAAAAAACAAAGAAGAAAGAATTTGTATTGAGATAAAGAGAACAGATAGGGAGAACAGAGATTCCAAAATTTTTAAAAATCTGACGTACATTTTCAATGAATTTAGGAATCATATTAATAGGTAAATGATTCAACTAAGTGGAGAGAAAATAGTCAGAGAGTGGAGAAAATAGTGGGAGAGTGGAGAAAATGGTGGGGGGGGGGGGGGAGTTACTTAATCAAATGGGGCAAACATCTAGGATTGGGGATCAAGTCATCATTCAGCCTCCCTTGAGACAAGAAGCCGAGAGAAGACCTCCCCAATTTGCTTCAGCGTCACAAACCCAACAACAACCTCGCCAACAACAACAGGGTAATCGGCGTAAGCGGAATACATCTGAAAGACGCTTTACCAAAACCAACATGTCATTGTCTCAAGCACTGCAACACATGTTGGAGGCCAAGTTGGTTACGTTGAAAGACCTCCCTCAGAATCCCAACACAGCCTCTCCGAAGTACAATCCAAATGCAAGATGTGCGTACCACTCCAACAGTCCTGGACATGACACCAATAGTTGTTGGACATTAAGAAATAAAATTCAAGATCTGATTGAAGAAGGAACGCTGGAGTTCACACAAGATGGCCAGACTGAATTCTTCTGTCAAAGGTACTTCACCCAAATCAACATGCCATTGTCACAAGCATTACAACATACGTTGAGGAAGAATCTAATTACGGTGATAAACCCTCATCCGAGCCTGAAGACTTCCTCTCCTAACTATAATCCGGAGGCAAGGTGTGCTTATCATTCTGATAGCCCTAGGCATGATACAAATGATTATTGGGCGTTAAAGTATAAGATTCAAAACCTGATCGACGAAGGAATGCTGGAGTTCACACAAGATGGTCAGACTGAGTTCTTCTGTCATCCTTCAAAGGCTCACCACCTAAAATGACAAGTCCGAACAAAGAAGCTTTTGTTTATTTAAATTTTCAAGTTGTAATATCTTTTGTTATTCAAACAATTATCTATTAATGTCAAACTTTGTTTCATTAATGCATTGCATATGTTTGTCTTGATTTGATCCACTCATTTTCATTATATTTAAACTATGCTTTTTACTCTCTTTTTGACATTCAACTCTTGCTAAAAGTTACAAGCCTTTAGAGCGAGGATGACGAAAACAATGTCATAATTTCATACAATATGCTTTTGAACAGATCTTGTTGACGATGTACAGGCGTTTCTTTCAAATCCTAAACACTGGAGTTATAAGGAAGATAATCCCTAGTCAACCCCTTCGAGCCAAAGAAGTAGAAGTTTTCTGTTTTAAAAAATTGAAACCTTTAATCAAAATCCGGGGTAGGGTAGTCTCTCAGTAAATTCAAACGTGTATTAAGCCGCAAACTCTCATCTCGTAATGCAACGAATGACGTCAAGAAACATTCATCTGGAATCAAAAGACGATGATGGTTCCCTATCACATAGGCAGTCATTATCTCTCAAAAAGAAAAATCTCACTAAGTCAAAACCTACAAAGGAGACTTAAGAAAACTGGGGCATCCCGCTGACTGTAATCTCAAAACAGCAACAGTCAGGCAAAAATTAAGGATAACAAATCAAAAGAAAGAGGTCACTACAAATCCTCAACAACATGAAAAAATGTTGCAAAAATGACTGCCTTCCAATAAACTTAACTTGTTTGAACCATCACTAAAATGTCATTCCAGACTCAATTGGAGTTCAAAACGTACAATTAACTGAGTTTAGGACTGAAGAACATCACGAAGAATGGGTGGGTACAAATACACTTTGAGCCTTTATCCTTTGTTTCTTAAACCGTGAACCAAGCCACGTTACAACCCTTCAAAATTCCTAATTGAAGCATGGGTTAGTTCGAAAGCATACTGTTACAAAAGGTATCCTGACTCCTGTAAGGCTTTACTCTAAATCCAGAGTTGAATTACAAACTTCTTTACCTGCTAAAAATGAATTTTTTAAAACTTCAAATCAATCATAAACTTTGCATTACTTGAATATCACTGTTTGCATTTGGCTATTTGTTTGACAACAGATAAATTCACACAACGAATATCTGTTGAACGAAAGCTCTCTCAGTGAACAAAATCAATTCAAGAAAGATGATACTTCCATCGTCAAAACTCCTATCAACAAGGGGACATGACATGTCACTATCTAACACACCTGGGGCAGTCCAGTCAAGATTCCAAGAAATCTCTCAAGAATTGCAAATTAACTAGGGGCAAGTCTCCATCTCTGTCACTCGGGGCATTGAACGTTAATCCCGACAAAGGGTTACGTATTCGCTACTAGGGGAAATGACAAGTATCCCCAAAGTCCTTCTCATAGGATGATTCCCCAGCAAGAGTTTAATCTCTGAACACCTTTTCCCAGCTGAAACAACCTCAAGAATCCTTGAGGACTTTCCCCAACGAAGTCGTTATCTCTCAAGCAGACCGGCAACAGGGTTTATTTCCCCAACAAATGGTAGGATTCCCCAACTTGAATTTGCCTCTCCGACTACTACAAATCGAAGGACCACGACTCCTCTTCCCTAGTAGACTACTCTACAATCCCCAGTAAGTTACTACGAAACCTGGACCCGACCAGATATCAGTTCAACTTCGACTCCCCAGTAGAGCAATAGACGACTAAGACTCCTAAACTCTTTTCCCAAGTAGGAATAAACATGCTCCCCACATAGTTTTCAATATTTCCCAACAGAGTTATCCTCAAACAACAAAACAGGAATCTCCGGTGAAAACATTCTAAGCAAAGTTTGAAGACACACAAACACTTCAACAGTAGTCCAGGATTTAACAACTCCCCAGCATTTGTTAAGGATTTATTTTTCAAAAAAAGATACACTTCAAGAAACATGTCACATTTCATAAATCCTATTTGCATACATGATAAGTGCATACGACACAATCTCGTTTATTTTGAGAACATCATGACATCATGCATTTCATGCATCACGATATTACATACAACTAACGTTCTACCTTTTTCAGGAAAGTTCAATCAACAGATGGCTACCATCAACCTTTTCAAATTCCAAATTAATACCTTTAGCAAGCTAGGAAAACTATTTGTGGATGACTGATTGTAGATTAATACCTGTAACAAGCTAGGAAAACTATCTACATGAAGAGATTGAAGATTAATACCTGTAGCAAGCCAGGAAAACTATCTTTCTTTCTCAGGTCAGAGATTAATACCTGAAACCAGATAGGACAACTATCTCGTCGACCAACCTTTTCAAGTTCTAGATTAACACCTGTAGCAAGCCAGGAAAACTATCTTTCTTTCTCAGGTCAGAGATTAATACCTGAAACCAGACAAGACAACTATCTCGTTGACCAACCTTTTCAAGTTCCATATTAACACCTGTAACAAGCCAGGAAAACTATCTTTCTCAGGTCAAAGATTAATACCCGAAACCAGACAGGACAAATATCTACTCGACCAGCTCATTCTATTTTAACTTCAGATATAGTTCAAATACGCACCAGATATGGATGCCATCCTGATACTCATTCAGATCCAGCTTCTTGATACAGTTCAGATACGCACCAAATAAGGATGCCATCCTGATACTCATTCAGATTCACCTTTTGATACAGTTTCAGATATGCACCAGATACGGATGCCATCCGGATACTCATTCAGATTCACCTTTAGATACAGTTTCAGATACGCACCAGATACGGATGCCATCCTGATACTCATTTAAAGACAGCTTTCAGATAGAGTTTCAAATACGCACTAGATACAGATCCCATCCTGATACTCATTCAAAGACAGCTTTCAGATATAATTTCAGATACGCACCAGATACGGATGCCATCCTGATACTCATTCAAAGACAGCTTTCAGATATAGTTCAAATACGCTCCAAATACAGATGCCATCCTGATACTCATTCAAAGACAACTTCCTGATACGGTTTAGATACACTCCAGAT